AGAGAGAGAGAGAGAGAGAGAGAGAGAGAGAGAGAGAGAGAGTTCTTCTTCTTCCTCTTCTCAGTCCACCATCTCCCCCTCACCCTCTCGCTACCCGACTTCACTGCATCAGCAGACTATGAGAGAGAGGGATTGGTGACATTTGGATCCAGACTCGACATTGGGCTTCAGATATTTGACKAAGGATTATCTGGGACTTGTACCRAAGACTTGGTGTTGATGACATTCCCATCTTCCCCCTCTTCTTTGTCTGATCCCCTCCTCTTCGTCTGTGTATGGTCTGGACCTGGCGCATTCTTCCTGTGTGTAGCGCCAGGCCCCCTTCACACCTTGTGATGAGGATGATGTATGTTAGGTCTGCATTGCGACATTGATTGGGCTAGTCATTGGTATTCTAGCATTCCGCTGCGCTGTCTTGTACTACGTGAGAGAGGTCAGTCCCGGTCAGGTCAGGACTTGTATCTAAGTCTTCCACTGCGCTACAAGGTGCCATTTTGTATGTATCAGGATGTACATTGCTTGTTGGGATTCCACTAACACCGCATTGTCCATTCAGTCCTTTTTATCACATTGCAGATCCTTGGCTATACGTACATTGCCCAACTGGGCATGTAACAGTTAGTATGGGAACACCGCACATGAATCAGGACAACCTGATCTGACATGTGTGCGGGTTTGATTGATTGATTGATTAGAGCATACTAATTAGCCCCAAAAATCGCAATTTGACCTAACTGCCGAAAATCGATTTTTTTTTCTTTTCTTGGATTTTGTTTTCCCGCTATTTCTGTTTTGGAAAATCGCAATAGTGCAACACCTGAAATTTCCGTTTTCGTTTGTTTTTTCTGAAAATTCGAAATTTTGTTGTTGGAAATCCGGAATATTTTTTTTGAAAATTTCGATTTCCTTTTGCAATTCCCCGTTATTTGGAAATCCGGAATATTTTTTTAATTTCCAAAATTTGTTTTTCGAGATTTGAAAACAGTACGGGAAATCCCTCTTGCAGTTATCATTTTCCAAACTGCGCGTACTCTCATCTGAGTAATTCCGAATATTTTTTTGTATTTATTTTCGGAATTCTTTTATTGGATAATCATTTGCAGTCTGAAAGTTCGAAATTTTTTTCCTCATTGGTAATTTCGCACTTCAGGGGGAATTGGGAGGCCTACTGGACTTGCAAACGAGTAGTTTTTTTCTCTCAGTTCTTTTTGCAAAGTCCGAACTTTTCTTTTGGCTCCTTATCTGGGCGATTTATCCCACCCACCTCTCCCCACCTATGTTGTTGCCCCCTCTGGTCTTATCTTCTCTATCTGTCTCCGGGTACCCCCTGCGGCAGCATTGGTGAGTTGCCACGTCAGCAGGCCACGTCAGCAGACCACGTCAGCAGCCCACGCCAGCAGGACACGTCAGCCGACAGCCACGCCACGTCAGCAGCCGAGCAGTGCCACGTCACCAGCAGGGAGTGCCACGTCAGCAGTCCTCCGGCCTGGTCTATGCTCACGCGCTTACAGACAGCTGGCATGGATCAGAAGTCCGGGGGAACGGCCGAGGCCTATCAGGCCCGGATGCTGGCTTTGATTAAGAAACGGGCGGATGAGGTAGCAGCCGTAGAGAAGAAGGCAGAGGATGCCGAGAAGGCACGTCTGTTGGCAATCGTACAGCAGCGCCAGCAAGACGAGGCAGCAGCAAAGGCTGCCGATGAAGAACGAAGTCAACGACGCAAGAAGATATTCAACGGAGAGCGAGCTTTGCTCACAATGGCAGCGGACTGGTGAGCCGAGGCCGAGAACGGTAAGATGGAAGAGAGTGAAAGCAAGATCGCTCTACTCCTCTCCCATTTCACGGATCCCCTGGCAACGTGCATTGCACAGCAGGAGGACATCCACAGCCTCGATGGCGCGGTTCAGATGCACAATCAGGCGTTTGACCAAGTCAAAAGCCGCCTCCAGCAGCTGGAGCAACGACCCGTCACCGCCCCCGATGCCAGCTCCTCCAACACCTCCGCTCACCTCAATACTTTGGAGATCGACGTCGGAGCCCTCAAGGACGGCGCACAGCTGCAACAAACCACCACGCAACAACTGGAGCAGCGGATCTGTGCTGCCGCCGCCAACCCGAGTTCGGCACCACGCGAGACGACTCCAAAGTTCGATGGTCAGGAGATCTTCTGCGATTCGACGAAGACGGATCCGATTCTGTGGTTCCACAAGTTTGAAATCAAGTTGCAGCGACATCACGTCAGCGAGGACAAGTAACACGCGTACTTATATTCCCGGTCGGGGGGCGCGTGCCAAGCATGGTTGGACAATCTCTTGTCAAAGTACGGGGTGGTAGCTGCCGACTTGTACACGAAGATCAATTGGGATGACCTAACGGCAGCGTGGCATAAGCGGTTCCAAGAAGAGCCGCCGGAGATCAAGGCAGTGGACAAATTGATGACCTTCGAACAAGGCACGCTGCCGAGTGTTGACTGGATTGCCGAGTACCAACGCTTGACATCCGTCCCAGACATTCAGATGGGCTTCAAGGCCGTCAAACACTACTTCATCACGAGGTCGTGTCCGGCGTTGGGCAAAGCCCTAACTCACGTCGAGGACACCCTGACGACAACGGCGGAGCTCTTCGACAAGGCCGCGCAGATCATTGTCACGAACAAGGAGGCTAAGAACCTCAACCGTTCGTTTGCGGCAAGCCCGAGCAGAGATCAGCATCGGCCGAAAGTGGCCGTCGTCGCGGCTGCAACGCCAACCAACCAATCTAGCGAAGTTGTGTCTGCCAATGAAGGGGACAGACTCACAGCCGCCTGGGATGGTGGCTGGCCCGGCAGAGGCCGAGGACGCGGCAAGCCGAAGACAGACACCACATCTATCCCAGGGCCCGGCGCATCAGCTCCAGCCCCATGGACCCACTACGGCCTCTCGGAGCAAAACACAAGCAACGCACGAGATTCCGCTATTGTCTGTGGTGTAACAGCGATCTCCACGACACAGTGGGCTGGCCGTCGATCGAAAGGCAAAGGCAAATCGGGAAATTGAGCACCGCCGGGAGTGAATCGATGACACTCCCGACGCCTTCGGAACCGGTCGCTTCGCGGGTGACCGCCCTTCGTTCCAAGGAACATGCAGAAGTCGATAGTCCTCCTCTTCTATATTCTTATGAGGACTATGCTGCCCGGCTCGTTCCTACGCTGGGTACTCATGCTCGAGGACAAGACGTGTGTCCGGCATCTTCCTCGTCCGACAGTGGCAACTTATCGTCTTCAAGTGGTTCTTCACGGGATTCAGCGCGCGAGTTCAACATAGAGCTATTGGACCCGCTCACGTCTGAGGATTTCGCACGGCTTCCTCTCCCGACCACGGGCTGTTTGTCGGGACCGCAATGCGCAACATTATGCGCTCATCTTCACACATATCTATCCTTCTATGCACCACCAACTTTGCCGACGGAGGACGAAGCTGCGGTGGGGGACATCCTTGCGTATGTTACCAAGGTGGCCCGCGAGTTTTGCAAGCAGCGGTACGATGACAACAACGCACCGTTCCTCTATGTCCGCATCCAAGTTGGGCAAGCGTCCTGCAGCGCTTTGCTGGGTAGCGGCGCATCTCGCAATTTCATGAGCCAAGCCTTTATACAAAGGGCTGGCCTTGGCGCACAAGTTCGGAGAAAGGCAAACCCGACGGCGATCAAGTTGGCGGA